AGCCCCGCCGGCGACCCCGGGGCGCCAACGCTGGGATCGGCCCCCCAGGACCTCCCCTGGGAGGGTGCCCCGGGGTATGAGGGCCTGAGGAAGGTGAGGGGGCCTCACCTCTGGCAGGGGACCTTCCCCCACCACCGTGGGGTCAGCATCGAAACCCAGCCCTACGCCGTCCACCCCAAAGCTGGGAGAGCTGGGTTGGGGTTTTGAGACATGGCCTCATCCCCGCACCCCCCTCCCCCAGCGCGGTACAAGCACCCCCGGCCCCACAGAAACCACCTCGTGCCCGCCCAGCATACACACCACAACATCACTTTTATTGAGTCGAGGTCCCTCTGCTTTCTGCACGTAGAAAATACATTTAAAAAGGTCAGTGTTTGTAAACAGTCGGGAGCGGTAAGGCAAACAAACAGCCACAGTGCCTCCCTTACCCCCCCGGCTCTCAAGCCCCTCAGGGGGACTGAGGGAGCCCAGCAGCTCACCAGGTGACAACCAAAGATGTGGGATTCCATGTCTGCCTCCACCTCGGTCAGGGGACCTCACCTTCGGGAAAGGCAGAGCCACAACAGCCACCAGGTACCAAGCCCCTCTCCATCTTGGGAGAAGGGCGCTGGAAGGCATCTTGGAGTTGGCATCTGCTGAGCCTTGAGCATCCCAGTCCCTGCTGGGCTCCACGGGAAGTGGCTCTGTGCTCTCCACGTCCAGGAGGAGCGGTCTACAGGGTTGGGTGTTGTCAGGGTGGGCACCCTCTTTATGCCAAGGGGTCCTCCAAGCCCCAGCGTCAGCTCTCGGGCAGGAGCTGGGCGAAGGGGCTCAGCAGGCAGCCAGTGCCATATAAATTGGGGGTCTACTGGGGCCTGGTTTTGTCAAAGGTTGAGGGTGCGGAGGTTGGAGGTACCTTGAGGGAGGCAGGAGGGATACGTGCCTTCAACAGGGTCCCTCAAACATTCACGCTGTGCTTGGGGCTTCCTCCTCCTCCATCTGGGTGTCCCCATCTCATCAGGCGGGGAGGTCCACATTTACACACAGCAAGCGTTGGGAGGGAAAGACCAAACCTTTCCACATGGGGAAGCGCCCACGTGCTGTCCTCCTACCCACCACCACTGGTCGCAGAGGGAGAGAGCCACAGTGAGAAACACAGAAGCATGCCATGGTTCCACTTCCCACTGCAACAGCCCGGGCTGCTTCCAGAAGATGCAGAAGGAGCAAAGCCAGGTGCTGCACAAAACCGGGCTGGACCCTCATCACAGAAGCAGCAATAGATACACGTGAATTCCTCCCTTCCCCAGGGTTTTAGAAGCCAAACAAGGATCAAGGAAACTCAAAGACTGAACAAAAGCAGTTTGCTGTTGAGGTTTAACTCCCCTAACTGATTCTGCAGCTGGGGGAACTGCTCAACCCAGCGAAAGCAGAAGTGAAACTATTGTCCAAACAGGCAACAGAGGGACAGCCCAGAGCAACACCAGCCACAGAGAGTGTAAATGACCAAGGGAACAATATAAAGCGGATTCATACTGACTGCTTTATCCCCAAAGCATCCCTTAAACCCTGCACCTGGCCCAGCTCCCATGCCCTGGATGCCTCCTGGAAGAACAGGATTGGAAATTTGGAGAAGAGCTTTTATCCAGTGTAGTGTCTCCAGTAGGTCAATGCAGCCATAGCACCTTCTCTAGTGAGTGAGCAACCCCTGGCAGGGGAAACATTGCACTGGTCTGTCCCTACCCTGGGATCATCCTGATCCTCAAAAAAAACAACCAAAACCAAAAAACAGACAAAGAAAAAAGAAATCAGGCTGAAGGCGACAGTCCCACTTTGTAATAGAAAGCGCAGCCCAGGAGGAGGGAGATGTAGGAGTAAGGGTGGGACACTGGCGAAATGATCCACGGGAAAGCCGAGTTCAAACCAAACCAAATACTGACACCGAAGAAGACTACGGGGATGTCACCCTGTCTGCTAAACGCGATTACTAGTTCTCTTTATGCAAGACATGCTGCCTCCCTCCAACACTGGGAGAAGGAGGAGTTTAAGCTGCAGAGAGGAGCTCCATCAGCACGGGGGTGCAGGGGTGAGAGTAGCATGCCTTTGCAAACCCCAGCCCCAACCCCTTAGTGATGTCTAAGGTAGTGATGTCCACCCCGGAGGGGCAGAAAGGGCTTGACCTGGACTACAGGTCCCCTTGCAGTGATACTCTGGCTTCACCAGGGAGTCAGGGCTGACAGGATGAGCCTGACTGCCTGGTACGTTAAGACAATAAGATACAAACCACCACAGGGCTCTTTCAGCCAAGCCCCGGATTACAACACTCCACTTGGATCTTCCTAACACGCCAAGGTGTTTTCTCCTTGCTTCCCTTTGGTCCTAGGGGAAACCTGCATCCCCACAGCAGCAGCGCAGTCCAGCCTGGAGGAGGAGTCAGGCTGTGAGATCCACGAAGATGGCATTGGCAGTTGTCTGTCCAAAGATGAAGGCTCCCAGGGTGACCATGAACACCCCGTAGCTGACCTGGGCCCACCAGCTGTGGATACAGGAGGACAGGGCACATTTAGAGGGGACCTTCACACCGACATCCGCAGGGGAAGTGTGTTTTGGTTACCTGATCGCCCTGGTTTCTTGGATCTCGGAGAGCTTGGCTTGAATTAGGCAGAGCCCTGAAAGGGAGGGGAAGTAAATTAAACCCAGGCGAGGACTGAGCAGACACCCCACAAGCCATGGAGCTGCACTCCCCATTACGGAGCAGAGAATCGCGTCAAAATAGTTGGGCTGCCAACCGACCTCATGCCATGCTTTCGTCCTTCTTAAAGACCTCCTGGTCCCTGCATCTCCATCCCGCTCCCTCCCTCTTCAAGACACAAGGCTGAGAGACCTCTGCTGGCTCCTGAGCATCCCAGGATGCCCTACCTGGGAAGACGAAGATAAAGCAGGCGGCCAAGCCCCCAATGACAGAGATGACTTTGCCGATGTCAGGGATGAAGAGAGCCAGGAGGAGGGTCAGGAGGAACCAGCTGATGGTCTGAAGCAGGCGCCTCCTCCGCTCCCGAACCACATCCTCCTCCACCGTCACCCCGGTGTAGCGGAGCCACAGACCCTCCAAGACAGCCCTGCGGGCAAAAACACAGGGTGGGGGGGTTGTCCCCAAGCTGCCCCTCCTGACCACACCAGCCCCTGCCTCCTCCCAGTGCTTACCGGCCACAGAAGTGCAGAATGGGGTAGGATGTCAGCACGCAGAGGATGATGAAGGCCCGGGCAAGGGCAACGGGGATGTCATTGGAGGGATAGGACAGCAAGATGTCCTGCTCCACACCAGCTCCAAAAGTCAGGAAGCCGCAGACGCCTGTTGGGAAGGGAGCAGTCAGCAGGGGATGGAGACAAGCCTCCAGCATGTGTGTTTGAGGGACCAGACTTGGATGGATATGGCACAGGGCACTTTGCAGGGAGGGTTGGACTCTCCTCCCTTCCCGCTCTGTGCCTCTGCTGACCAGAGGGTCCCTGCCCTCCAGAAGCTTGCAGTCCCTCCGAGGACCTTGCCACGCTCACACAACATCCCCTCGCTCACCAGTGCCTGTGTAGACGAAGAGAGCGATCACCATGGCCGCTGTCACCACCACCCCCCAGGTCTTCACCTCTGGCTGCTTCATGCTGTTAAAGACGGGCACGCTGCTCACGTGGCACTGCCAGGGACACAGAGAGAAAGCGGGGACATGTGATGGGATGAGCCCAAGCACTCAGGGAGCCACACAGGATCCCACGCGTGATATCCCCAGGTTTGTTGTGATATCGTGATCCCCCCAGGTTTGCCCTGGCCTTCCCAGCTGGGGTGAAACCGATCCCTCTCCACTAGGGGCAGTGAGATGTTAAACTGGCTTTAGCCCCCTCGCAAAGCCATGGAGTGAGCACATGGGGAGGGTTTTGGCTGGTTGCCCAAGGGGAGCATCCCTGGACCACGCTGGTCCCCCACCCAGGTGGCCACAGGGTGAGAAGGAGAATGCTGGGCTTGTGCCCTTACCTGGAACCCAAAGCAGATGGTGGGCATGGCATTGAAGACAGCTGTCCAGGTGGAGGGGCTGGCAGGAGAGAAACATCCACCGGTCAGACCAGGGTTCCCCACACCCCCCACCCAGCGCCCCGGGGGAGGATGAGCTGTGGGTGCTCAGTCATGGGCTTGCTCCCCTGCTGACCTGCCCCCTGTGCCTACTGTGTCCCTCCACCCAGGACAATCCACTTGCATGAAGTGACGTTTTCCTTGGGGCCTGGCACTCCCAGGACCTTTCACTGAGACAGAACCAGCCAAAATTGAGGACTTACAAAAATAAAAGTATCAGTAAAAAATAAGGATCTCCTTGGGCAGTGCCAAAGACCAGTCTAAAATTTGCTCTGCCCCAAAATTTCCACTGCCCGCACTGGGTCCAGGAACGTCCCCACACTGCAAGGGAGGGGACAAGCCACAAGGGTTGGGCTGGCCAAAGAAATAACCAAAATCATCCTAAAATAGACCCAGTCCTGGTTGCTGGGTGAGCACAAGCACTGCACAGGGAACTCTGGATCTGGCTGTATCGGAGCTAAAAGTCACTCTTCTCTCCTCAAAACCTGCAATGGAGCCAAGAGGACCTTCAAGAAATCTTTTTCCTCTCCTTCACCAGCTGCTCCTCTGAAACATGCCAAGATGCAGTCGCTTGTGAGCTTCTGGCAGCTACACTGCAGTGTCCCTGGGTCCAGGGATGGGACTCATGAAGGATTTGTCCCCAGCCCCAGAAGCCCTCGCTCCCACCCCCCTGTAATGGCCGCTGTCAGCATCAGGTCTCTTGGGCTCACCTGGTGGGGATCTCTGCAGGCACGAGCTCCTTGTCAGGCCAGATGTACTTGATGATAATGACCGCTGTGACGTACCACGTGCCAATCACACTTATGGAGCTGCAAAAGGAGACAGGAGACCATCAGCGTGCTGCCTCCCCGCTCTGCAGAGGGTCTCCCCCCAGCCTCTCCAGCTCCATATTCCTCCTGCACAGCCCAGGCCACCCCAATCCTTCCCATCAGGATCATCTTCCCGGGGGAATATGCCAGGCACTGCCACCCACTGTCCCCAGAGAGATGCCAACGCAATCCCGCTGCACTCGGGGGCCATCCCATGCCGCTGTGAGTGGCAGACCTGGGATGGGCTTAGCTTTGGGCAGGAGAAAGAGGCAAGTGTTAAAGAAGTGACGCTCCTCGGTAGCCCTGGTCCAGCTCCAGCTGCCAGGTTACACCAAGACACTTGGTGGGGCAGGGCTGGCCTGCAGACCACCAGGCCCGGGGACCCTTACTGGCTCTGCTTTCTGCTGGATGGCCAACCCCAAAGACAGGGGACAACGCACTTGAAAGCAGCTCTCCCCACTTCCTCCAGCAAGCCTAAGGGAGGGACGCAAGCCATGGAGTACAACACTGGCCGCACAGTGCTCAGCAGCTCCTCTGCCTCCCAGAGGGGGAAACCGAGGCACAGGAAGGAGGAGGAGATGATGTCCAACTCCTCAGGAGCAAGTGGGCAGTTGTGGTGCTAGGACCGCGGCGTTTCCACTCCCTGTCCCCTGGGACCATGCTTAGGTGTGTGCTGGCTGGTCCATGCCGGCTCCCAGCCCCCGGCGGGCTCCCCCTCCCCACCTGGCATATTTTTGGAAGCCAATCTCCTTGGGGATGGAGAGGGGCAGGATGAGGAGGAAGGCAGTGATGCTGATGGTGAACTTGCGGTCCGTGTACCAGCGGCTGCTCCCAGCTTCCTCAGGCTCCGTCACCAGAGCAGCAATGACTGTGGGGACAACAAGGGTGGTCAGGTTGTCCCCTTCCAGCCGAAGGGACAGCAGCTGGTTATTTTTTCCCCCTGTTGGGACACACTTACTCTTGTCCTCCTGGTCTCCGATGATGATGAGGAAAGCGATGCAGGTACCAAAGGTGTAGACAGCAATGGCCACCTCGCACAGCACACCAGGCACCTTCCCGCAGACAGCCCACACAACCTCCTGGTAGGTCCGCTCGTTGCTGGCCTGCGAGCAGTACGCCAGGATGACCAAGCCTCCAATGATGAAGATCAGCATGCACTGGTGGTGGGGAAAGAGGCAGGGAGGGGACACTGAGGCAACAGCATGACAAGGTCCCCAAAGCCACCTCAGGCAGTCACCCTTGTACACACAGAGCATCTCTGGGGTTCCTCACCCAACAGGGCTTCCTCCCAGGAGCCACGTCCTCCCTAAGCCCCTTCTGGAGCTCCACGTGACCCACCATGTCCCCTCCCAGGGTGGGACCAGGGACCGTCCCTTCTCCAGCCTCTCACCATCTGCAGTGCGATGCCCGCGGCCACGCCGCCAGCCATGCTGAAGGCAGCAGGAAAGTTGAGCAGCCCAGCCCCGAGGGCAGCGTTGACCACAATGAAGACGGCTCCCAGAGCTGATGTGGCTCCTGGACCATTTCCTTGGCTTTCTCCGCTCTTTGGCACCGTCTCCACACTGGGGCTCTGCAGGAGCCTGGCCCTTTCCCCGGCGTCGGCGCTCCACTCCCAATCCTTGTAGTCGCTGTTGATCCTGCCGGTGCCCTGAGCCATCGTCCCTCCTAGGGTGGCACACACCACCGTCCACGTTCCCCTAGCGCTCCTGCACCGGGCGCTGCCGGCCGCCTTGAGGAGGGTCCTCTGCCAGTGCCGGCTCCATCAGGCAGGGAGGGCAGCCAACGGGCAGACTGGGACCATGGCAGTGTGGGGGTCAGGCACGGCACTGCTCCTAGAAGGGGATGAAGAAGGACCCCATAAGTGTTAGTTAAGGTATGTTAATGAGGGACACCCTGGGCATCAGATGGGGGGCACAGAGGAAATGAGTTCCCTGGGTCTCAGCTTGGGTGTCACAGCACACAGGTCTCCTCACACCAGCAGAGATACGGCAGGAGAACTCACCTCTCGTCCCCCGAATCCAGGGCAAGGACACCACTGCCGTTGGATGGGGGACTGAGCCCCGGCTGCAGGGCTGGGGAGCTGCAGCCTCACGGCAGGACTCGCCTTTCTGCGGGCACGAGACCCAGTGTCATGGATCACTTCCTGATTTCCAACCCCAATTCCTGCAAGCTCTGCAAGAGCCGCCATGCACGTGCTCCTGGGTAAAGGTCAAGGCTGGGCTCAACGGGAACGACCCACGCATGCAGCAGAAACACCAGGAAAAGCGGGACCAGCCGCTCCCAATGTGCCTCCGGGGTGACCACTGGTACAAGGTGTCTCGGAAGCTTTTGGACCTGAAGACCTGGTCTTTCCAGCACCGCAGCCCTCGGGAGTTGGACAGCCCAAGAGCTCACCCCAGTGCCTCGCTGAGCTGAAGGAGATCAACCCTCACAACCTGGCAGGGCTTCGCAGGGACCCACACAGCCAAGGGAAACCTCTGTCCAAGGGAGATTTCTTTTATTTCTTTTCTCTAGATGACATCTCCAGGGACTCTCCCCAACCCACCCCACCCTTTGCTTCTTAGGCTACCGAAACCCCGCGCTTGTGCTACAAATCATCTTCAAAGGTTTTTGGGGAAGGGGGAAATACCCTGCAGGTCTGCGCAGGGGGAGAAGGCAGGCAGCCCTCCCTCTCCCCGGGGGTAGGAGCGTGGAGGGGACAGGCCCCAGGTCCCCAGGCCGGTGGGGCCTTGGGCTGAT